TCGATTAATCGATTATTGAAATATAATTTAGTAATCGTAGAGACTTAATCGTTCCTTTACCTGACAGAGTAATCCACTTATAGCAGTAATTATATCAAAATGTTAAATGTATATACAGTATATATATATATTATATATATATATATATATATATATATATATATATATATATATAAATGTATATATGTATATGTATATATATATAATACTGTTTTCAAGTAAATATGTTTTAAAACAAGGTTCCCCTAGTTGGATCCTAACAACAAACAAGATAATATTAGAGTAAAAGGATCCAGTAATTGGTTTAAGCAGATGGAGCCTACATAGCGAGCATAGATTAAAAATACCAAAAAACAACAACAAAAAAATCAGTAACAGTCAAATATAGCAGAGCAAACAAAACACTGTTGGCAGCAAAGTCTCAAAGGCTAATCATTCCTTTTGAGTATAACATCAGCTGTTAGTAGAACAGCAGCCATCCAGAGGGCCTGATCAACCAATCAGAGGTGGAGTTTTAGTAAAACAGCCAACAGCAAGAGAAATCCATAATGTCAAAGATATTTTCTTTAGACTCTTACCAAAAATGTTTTACTTTCCACCCATGCTGTAAAACTCTCTGAATTAGAAGACAGGTTCACATTCAAGGTTGAACATAACAATGATCTGTAAAGAACAGCAACAAGCTTTATTATGTACAGAAATATGCCTTGAACCCATGCAGGGAGTTTCCATGTTCTCCCTGAGCATGCCTGGCTTCTCTCTGGGTACTCCGGCTTCCTCCCACAGTCCAAAAACATGACTGTTAGATTAATTGGCTTCTCTAAATTCTCCGTAGGTGTGAGTGTGTGTGAATGGCAGACATCCCAAGTCTCCCGGAAGTTCCGGGAATCTCCCTGATATAGATAGTTGTTCACGGATGCCCGCGAGTCGAATAAATTCTCCCAGATTTTACACTATGAGAGGTGGTGTTTTTTAATGCGACTGAGAGCGGGCAGGCAATAATTCATACATCATGTGCAGATAAGAACTACTTCGATTGTGCAAACAACAAGAGAGCCCGGGGTACGGGGAGGAGGTTGCTGGTCAAACCTGTGCAGCATATCTGTCCAAAGCGATGCTCTGCTCACCCAGCATTGCAGGCAGCTGGTTCTCAGAGAGCTGATTGGATCAGTTTCTCTGGGTTACTCTCTGGCAGTTACCTAGTTACCACTCAAAGCTGTGCATCCTGGGAAACGGCAGAGGTTGAATCCTCGAGTAAAAAACGAAAATATAGGACTAATTTTACAGCAGAATATACTAAACTATATCCACGTCTAGTGAAGGAATATGCCTTGATAGGTGAAAACCTTTAACTAAGAGACTGATATGGTCTTATGCTCCTCATCTACAATTAGAAGAGTTTTTAATAATACATGGAGTTTGAAGGTACATGCCTAAAAAGTGCTCTATTTTAGGTGAAAGGTCAAATTTGAGGTGTCTGTGTGCTGTATATCTCTGGTTCACTTATGCTGATGAGCTATGCAAGATATTATTTTATCTTTACTCCATATTACCACGAGATCTCATGTGTCTTTCTCCTTAGTCGGCCAAGATCCGAACCAATCACAGTCTAATGCCGCATATCATATTGTTTAAACATAAAAACATCAAGAAAAGGCTCCAAATTCCAACACCAATGTTTGGACATCTGTTTTTTTCAGTGTCGGACTGCAAGTTTGGGACAATGGAGCTTATTGTCCACAGTTCAGGACCCCTGGGATGTTCATGGAACAACCGCGGAAGTCTTTTTATAAATTATGAACTCTGGAGCCGAAAACGTCTGATATTGAGGTTGGAGGAGTTGTAGAGACTGTGTTCATATTTAAAATTCTGTAATTAAAATTTACTCTTTTTAAAAATGTGGTAAACTCTAATAGAGAGATAAATGATGTAGAGAGAGTACATTGAAGAGAACACAGATATATTATTATATATACTTATAGGGAACTATGCCTGGGAAAAGAATGCATCAAAAGTTTAAACAGAAGTAATTATACTAGATATAAAATGCACAGAGAAACCTCACTGGAACTGTAGGTGAGTGTGAAGGGGCCACATATTTCTGAAATATGTTCCACTGATATTAGTTCGTGAAGCCTTCATATTTACTTGGGACCCTCAATGATTTCTATAGGATTTACATCCGGGACTATGGTGTCCATAGACTTGACTTCATGTCTGATGAATAATTTCTGGATTAATTTGATGTTTGGGTAAGTATCCTACTGAAAGACCCAATAATGACCCAGTTTCAATCCCCTGGCTCAGATTTAGATTGGCATTTATAAGAGATACCACTTTAAAAAGCTTTCCTAAGCATTGATTATTAGAAACAGCCCCAAAGCATCATTCATTCTCCACCATGCTTTAAAGTGACATGTTTCTTCGATGTCTTCAAACCTTGTTTTCAGCAAGATCCACCTTAAATGTTTGTTAGCTAAGTGCTTACTTTTAATCTCGTTTTATCAAAATAAAGATTAAACTGCATGCCTAAATTTTTTATTGTAGGTATAGTGATACATTTTACTGGCATTTATCCCAAACAGTCAGCATGTAATAAATGTCTAATGATTGCTCTTGAGACTTGTTGACCCCAAGATGCTGCAGGGTTCTTAACAGTGAGCTTCAGAGACTCCAGATTAGCAGGTCATTTAAAGGTTAGCCTTAATTAAATACAGTATCTTTATATAGTACAACTAATACTAATCTGCACCATTCTGGACTTTCTGAATATTTATTATTTATGAAAAATGAATTTTGATTAAAAAGTTATAGTCATGACCTTTCATTTCAGTTCACTTTGACATTTTTATACTTTGTTAGAGTGAAGATTATGAAACAAATAAAGCTACAAGGACGGTATATATATATACAGGTTTATTTCCAGGCAAGATATTGAACGTGTTCCTGCTTGTCCCTCAGGCCTCTGCACACACCTCAGTGTGAAAATAACTGTCCTATTTGGCACGTTGATCCCAGAATGAGAAATGTTGTCATCACTGCTCGATTGCTGCAGCTCTCACAACCCAAACAGACACATAAAGACTACAGCAGCAATAGGGAGGTAAGTTACTTCCGCTTTACCTGGTTGTTCCTGTAGAGAAACTTTACATTCCATTAAAAAACAAAACTGCTTTATCATGTTTTTGTTGCTTAAATACTTTCAATGGATGGATGGATGGATGGATGGAAACTAAAGGGAAAAGCAATTTAAACTAATCTCTTACTGTTTGAATGAGGCACTTCCATCTTTTTCCACAGAGCGCAGCTTCTGTTGTCTCCTTTGCTTCCAGAGCAGCTCAGATATCTCAGAGAGTCGCCCAGCTGTCGCTACCTAAACTGAAACAGAGCAACATCTGCTACCAGCTGGGACACCTTGAGGACACAATCTGGACCGTAAGAACACCTCCTACCACAATAATCAGCCTGTTACTTCTTGAATTGCATTTTATAAAAAATGAAATACAAACTCTTCACTATTGACCATCTTTAACAGACATTATTTCAGATTTGTCATGAATTTAGTTTCATGTTTTATAACTCCTCAGCAGAGTTAGCTTTTTTATTAAATACAAACCTTTTCTCTGTTTTTCCTCACTTTTCATTTCAATCAGGTCACCAGCAGCAAGAAAGGCTTCAGCAAGTGTTCGTGTTGAGCAGCTGGCAGCTCCAAAGCAGCTTCATAAGGACTATATTCCTCCACGAGACCCAGTGTGGAGCCGGAAAAATGCAAAGAACAACTGAGCTTCTGCTGAAATAATTCAGAAACTCACTACTTTTCTAGTTTGAACTTGAACTTGAAGGTGACCCTATATCTCCTGTCATCCATTTGTTTTTGTTCTGTGGTTGAATCTTTAAATTGTTATGTCATACTGAAAATATCTGCTTTTAACATATAAAACCCTGGTTTCCTCGAGCTGGAAACATCGATACATGTGGTTTTTCCTCCACTGCTGAACTGGATTCTAAATTATTATTTTTTTTATCACAACCACATGTTTCGGACTTTGCACAATGTAAATGTGGTTCTCCCTGAGTATTTTTAAAATCAGTGCATGGATGGACTATGTTACTGTTCATTAAAAAATTTAAAATAAGGTAATATATTCACTAAAGAAAACATATAAAACAGATTAATTCATACAGATAATTAGTTCTTTCTCCAGGACATGATTTTTATATAGATGGTGCTGACTTGGTTCTGCAGACATTGTTTGTTTGTTTGTTAGTCTTGAACATGAGGTTAGCCTGATTTCACAGAGACACAATATTCATCCAGCAAATGAGGTTTTAGCCTAATCTGACCAGGAGGCAGACAGGAGAAACATATTCAAACACAAAAACTATTCTAAGAGGAATCAGGGCCCACTCCAGTTAGCACATGAATGAAATTAGCTGCCGTTTTTACATCGCAGCTTATTCCTTGTTTCTTTATTTGAATATATTCATTTTGTTCTCCCAAACTTTAATGGTACTTTAATTGAAGTAAGAAAATGAAATACAGAAGGAACCAAATTTTTATTCTCTAAATTCCCCAAAACATAAAAACTTTACATTGGCTATTTACTCCTTAAAGCTTTGTGTAGGCTGCCAGGAAATCCTGGTTATTTGATTTTTAATTTAGAACATAAATTAAGTGCAGTCCAGACAGAAAACAGACTCTTTTTTATACAGGATTCCCACTGGTCCTTGGAAGCCTTGAAACTTTGTGAATTTGAAATAAATTTAAGGCCCTGGAAAGTAAAAAACAGACATAAAATGAAACTTGGCATGAAAGTCGTTTGGTGCTGAGCTTTGCATATCAATCAAATTCCAGAGCAGGGGCAAAGCTGCATTGAAAAAACCATGCTACATGAGTTCATCACAAAAATACGGTTTTGAAATTGAAAGTGGGTCTGAATTTTACAACGTAACATTTACATATGACTTTCTAAAATGATGAATAAATTCTCAATGTGTGGTGCTTGCTTCTAGGGTCACTGTGTGACTTAGAAAAGTGGTATTAATAGATGTTTACCTACTATTACTGATAGTTTCTATCCTATGCCTACATTTAAGACAGGTATTATTGACTGTGTCCTACAATAGAAATTGCATGGTGTTGAAATTACTTAAATCCTGATCCATTAACCAAATGAGCAATTCATGAATTGGTAAAGAATTGAGAAATTAACATATCATTGTGAATGTACATTATTTTACCTAAAATCATAATGAATAGAAATGTAGATTACATCCTTGTTATATGTAGTATGGACATTTATCGTGATGACCAGATTGTGTTGGGGACTTCTGTGTCATATAATTCAAGCACATGCTTGAGGCTTTTGTGGAAATGGAGAGATGTGGCAATTAAAGCTTAATTTACAAATCTAAATCTAACTTTGTCCCACTAGAAATAAATGTGGTCTTTTTTAAGTAGAGAATTTATCTATGAACTGGAGCTAGAAGAGGAAGTTTTCTCCTGTTCCGGAGCAATTTGTTCAGATTAAGGTGTTTAAAGGTGTACTAAAGCATTTTAGGATATCATTCTATGAAAGTCCATTATTTCATAAAATTAAGATGTAGCTATATACTTGGCAGATTTTTATGCAGTACTTTGTGGCCCCCGTGAGCATTTGAAGCTTATATAAGGCTTTTATATTTTTTTCAACAAAGAGTCTTCTGGCCATCACTATGCATGTCCATTAATTGCTGATCTGAAGGTAGGTTATATAGTCAGAGGTGTCAAGTAACAAAATACAAATTAATAATGACTGGATTACTCATTACATTCACCTGCTTAGCTCCACCCGTTTTCTCATTTCCATTCATCTGCTCCACCTGCTCCTGCCTCTATTTAACCAGATCTAACCAGTCATCAGCGGTAGATTATTCTCGAGCCAGCAGCCAGAGTGTGCCAGTGTTACCTTAGTGTTTCTGATAATCTGATCCTGACCTTTTTTTGGACTCTTGCTGGATTTTGTCTGTTTAATTAACTTGGAGCTGCTTCCTGTCACTAACCTGGATTTCCCTCTGGAACCTTTTCAGACTTCTGATCTCTTGTTTCTGATCCCTGAACATGTCCTCGACGCCAGCTTTGGCTTTGCCCTCTGGATTATCCTGCCTTCCTTCGGATCTGGTCTCCTGATTGTTCTCCATCCTCTGGGACTAGAGCGTCTGGCACTCTATAGGCGGCACCCACCGTATCTTGTTAACAGCTGACCGCCTGGAATCAACCTCGTTCTCGTCTACATTCATTTCCTTATATTTTACAAATAGACTTTGATTTTAAGCTCGTTTTCGTTATGGCTTGTTTGTATTTAAAAATAATAAGAAAACATCAAAATAATTTGTTTTATCCAAACTATTTTTTTGTGGTGCTGCACTTGTTCTTCACCACATAGCAAAAATAAATTGTTTTTAATATGCTGCAAAGTTAAATTTGACACTGTTCCAGTTTATAAAACGTAAAAAAGTTAAGTATAAGAAGTTATCATCCAGAATTGTAGAAAACTCTTCCTTTTATAGGATAGTACAGTTAAGTATTTGTCCTTAACAATTTCTTCTGCATTACTTTTACTCTTTAAGTAGTTTTAAAACTATTACTTTTACACTTTTACTTGAGTAAAAAGCTTAAGTTGATACTCTTACCTTCTATGAAAGGGATTTCTTCTTCTACTTGAGTAATAAACATTAATACTTTTGACACCTCTGCATATAGTCAATACACCTTCGTTATTGAATCTGATCAAACAATTTTTATGCCAGTTTCTATTAAATGTGCTTCGCATTAAAGTAGTTTGGAAATTATGTATCCATTTATAGAAGTAGGTAAATGATTTAGCTTGTGGGTCTTGAATTTGAGAAAACTGATCCTGAAAAGTCCTTGAATTCAATGTTCAGCAAGATATAGGAAATGTGTTTAAATGGTATGATGGCAAATATGAATAAATGCGACTCACTCTCTTAGTTTTAGCTTGATGTGTGTCCAGAAGTGGTAAAATTATGGAATGTACAGATTTACATGGCAGGTTATTGTTGAATTTGATATGATTGAGGATGAAAAACAGGTTTGAAGGTTAAATCCATACATTTTTAACAAAAATCCATTGCCACAGAATACAGTCAAAAAACGGGGACAGAAAACTCAAACAAAAGGCTCCACCACCAATCCAATAAAGTAAAAATCAGCCCCTGGCCACACCAAAACTCACCAAAATAAATGTATTTGTCATGATTCAAAAGAGAGGAACCAGAATTCAAGGTAAGAGAGACAGTGGGATAATTCACAAAAGCGATTATTAAAACAATCGATGATTGGAGTGCCAGCAACTAGGGCGTCTATAACAGGAAACTCTGTAGAAGGTTACAGGTTAGTGACAACGTAAATCTAACAGGGTGATACAAACGCAAGAGTCACTGGATTAACAGCTCAGCCCGTGTCCTGAGAAAGACGTAGGATCCAGCCAGTAGGCTGCCAACAAGATGCGGTGGACACCGCCCAGGGTGTCCCTGAAGCTGCGGCCCTGGAGAACAAGCAGGAGTCTGAAGCCAGGTCAGGCAAACAAATCAGAACAGGCAGGCTTAGTGGTACAGGAGTCCAAAGACAGTTAAGGCAAACTGTTCAGACAAAAACAGACAGGCTCAGTGGTTGAGAGGCAGAACAGGTCAGGATCAGGAAATCAGAAACACTTAAACACTAAAAACGCTAAAAACACTCTCACCACTGGCACGAGAGAACGGCGATAATCTGGCTCTGATAACTGGATGCAAGCACCTTAAATAAGGCAGGAGCAGGTGGATTAAATAAGCAGTGATTAAAAACCTGGAAGAGTTGGACAGGTGAATGGTATTATTAATTTAGCCAGTCATAAGTGCCAGGATCATGAAAGTTTTAAACTTCAGTAAAATGCATCTAAAATAAGTTTAAATGAGAAATCTGATGCTGGAATGTCAACTAAGAATTTTAGAAGAACGCAAAAAACAGCCTTTTCAAATGGAAAGGGGATTTTCAGGAACTCTGTAAATTCTCAGACCTCTGAGTCATGGTGTCTTTAAATCAGGCTTAACTTGGTCAGCAACCCGACTTTTTCTTTCCTGAAGGTGTTTCGACAGCGATGTAGGAGTCTTTTTCAGTTCTGTTCACTGGCAAATTGGTTGCTTTTTTTTAGCTAATTTTGAGGCTTTTTTTTCTGAAGTAGATTATTTCCAGTCTGAGATATGTTTTTGGCTGTTTTGTACAACATTTCTAGGTTGCAGTGGCAAACAAGATGAATAGTGTGCAGCCATTTCACACCTTCAGTTAAAAACAGGAAGCCGTTAAACCAGCCTTTTCTCACCATCCTATCATTCTTTATGTGAATCTCATCTTTTAGTATAAAGCTTAATATTGAATTATTTCAAAGTTTGTAGTGAAAGATTATGTTTAATATAAAATTAAATGATGTAGGGTAGAGAGCAAGCTTTTGCATGTTTCTTATAAGGATTATAACTCTAAAGGCAGCCCTGTCAGGGTGGAGAAACAGGAAGTTTCTCTTAACAAAAGGCCTTCAGTTTCTCAGAGTGCTGAGAAACTGGCATCAGCTGCTACTGATGATGATGTTGTGGGTTTGGCATAATACATCTGCTGGACTTCATTTTCTAAACTCAGCGTTGTTTTTTAAAATCAAACACTGTTTGTGTTGTAAAAGGAAGAGAAATTGGAGAGAGGTCATACTTTCGTTAGTTTGCTCAAAGGAAAAGAAGACACATTGAAATCAATGGATTGAAGGAAGGAAGGAAGGAAGGAAGGAAGGAAGGAAGGAAGGAAGGAAGGAAGGAAGCAAGGAAGGAAGGAATTGAATTATATAAGTTTCCTATCATTATAGTGACATTCCTGAATGTTCTGCTCCTAAAATAAAGGAGTGGGTTTTTCTCACTAACTAGGGACTGTTATTAATAGCTCATCTATCTAAGTTTTGCTACCGTTAAAGCAAAGTAGTCAGTTGTGTTGTTCAAAGATATTCTGGGATGAATGACAAATAAAAAACAGGTACTGATCTAATATGTTTGCATTAATATCTAGAACATGTAAATATACAGTAATGTCCTAAAAAATCATGTCAGAGTTTAATGTTTGGCTTTGTGGAGTTAGTGGTTACACTGTCATAATCAACACTTAGCTAAAGCAGAAGTTGCAGAGGAGAGTAGATGTGTGAAGAGCTGAAAGCTGAGCAGCTGCAGGAGATGACTCAATGAGAAATCAGGAAATTCACAGATCAAATTTAGTTTGTGTGGGTAAAACAGTTGCATCGGTGAAGCATGAAGACAAGCGGAAGGAGGGTGATGCAGACTGAATTTGGTAGATTCCTCACTGCTCTGCAGAGGTCTCTTAGCAGCAGACATAGAAACCATCTCCATTCACATTCTGTACACATGCTTATCTCGTCAGATCTTAATCCCACAAAGTTACGACATTTTGAAAAAAGTGTCAGACTAGATCTCTCAGTCTATCACAGCTTTATGACTTCATTAAATTTTATGTATTCATAACACATTTAATTATAATGTAGGACTAATAATTCTTAAAATGACCCCTTAGGTCCAACTCTTATTTTTGCTGATGCTTGATTTGGTTTCTTTCATAACAGAAAGAAGCAAATATCAGGGCAAGTTCAGAAAACTTTAACTTTTAGAGTAAACCAGGAAATTAGATTCATGTTGTATCCAGTTTGCTAACAGAATTATAAACTTCCTGTAGGGACATTTGCTGCCTGAATGAATAATCTATGTACAACAACCTTCAAAAGAACCATGTAGCACCACAGTTTTCTTGTTTTTCCAGCCTTTCAAGGTCAACTATTTGCATATATACCATAACATAATATCTTCAGCAATTCAAAGTATTCCAAGTTAACAAAAAGTTAATAAAGTTAATGAAAAAAATGTGGCCTACAAAGTGAAGCCGTCTCTCCCCATCTGAATGCCTGTCATTTCATGACTTTGTTGTATTACTCCACCTCTGAAGGAGGATCAAAGACTAAAACCACTAAAGGCCAAAAAAAAAGGAAAAAAGTTAGAATTTTCTGCTAACATATATATGCACATCCCTGCTTTCTAAATTAAAAGTATTAAGAGGCAAGTTAGACACCTTTTCTGCTGGTTTATGCCTTTTTTGTTGGGTTCCCTGCTTTTGTAAAGAAAAAAAAAATCCACAAAAAAGTCTTTTTCCTGGTGACTTGTCCTTTGAGGGCCATATTTATGTAACAGTTGCTCTGTGGTCTCCCACCAGGCTCTTCTCTCCTAAATGCTCTCTTTTGACAGCTTGTCACCTTAATTGGAGGGTCGTGTCTTGATCAGCTTTAGATGATAATCTGAACAGAGATCTTTATGATGTTCAGGGCTCTGAATATAGCTTCAAAATATAGAGCTTTATAGCTTTCACCTGTCTTCTGTGTTATTTTGTCTGGATGAGGCTGTTTGTTTACTAATTATTTTCTAATAAATCTCTGAGGCCTTCAGCTGCATTTATCCTGAGATTCATTTAAACATTGCTGCACTCCAGTTGCCAATTAGATGAATCCTGAAGCCCTCTGGTTGTCCTGGATTTTATGCAGCGGTGTCCAATTAAACAGGGCTGAATGCACAGCACTTCTGATTTTGGATTTTTGTTTTAAAGCGCTGTACCCTGATACCTCTGCTACTTTGCGTTGGTAGAATAAAATCTCAATAAGATTAAAAGACAGCCAAAAAACCAATGAGGCAATGGAGAAGATGAGAGGGGTAGACTAGGTGAAGTGGGTGAGACATATTGGAGGTGTTTCCTGACAGGAGCAGCTGGAGGAGTGAAGGGGAAAGGTTAAAAAAAAATAAAAAAATAGCCAGTGAGGCCTGCTATGATAAAATACAGAATTAGAAATGAGTACTGCAGACAGACACCTAGATTGAATGGACAGAGAGGCAATGCTGAGATGGTTTGGACAGATGTACATGTGGAGAGGATGGAAAGTTGAAACTAAAATGAAAATTATGAGAATTAGGTTGACAGAGCAGAATCCCGTATGGATGAAATTAATGCAATTAATTCTGCGACAGAGCAAGCAAAATACATAAAAGTGCAGAAGTGCAGTGACATTAGCTAAGAATGCAAAATGAAGCTGCAGTTCTTGATCTGCAGGGTTTCTGCAGAGAACCATGTGTGTTCAGTGCTTTTATTACATCATATATTGCAGTACTAAATTACCTGGTTTACCTTTCGATACGCAGATTTATGTGCTTCACAGTTTAAAAAATAAAGTTGAATATTTGCATCAGAAAGAACGTTTAAAACCAAACAGTTAAGAAATGGTTTTTGAATGCAAAGCAAGTATTTTCAAACTTTTTCAGATGCAACTGTTAACCTAAATAAATGCTTCATTTAACTCTGGAAACATTTAGTGATGTTAAGCAATCCAAACTGTAACAATAAATCCTCTATAAGATATGTGTGTTTCCATCAGGGAATATAAAAATGTGCTTGTTGTTCTGTAGTGGGTGTGACTTATTTCACACTTGGTCGAATAGAGGAAAAATCCCCCAGGCTCCGAAAACACAGCACACTGTGTGGGTTCTGCATGTGCAGTGAGGGGCTTCAGTCAGAGTGAAAAGTTGGAATCATATGAATAAGGCTTGTTGCCAATAAGCTCATAACATCTAAAAAAGCAGCTTTGAGTGCAGTTCAGTTACCTGTTTGTTGGCTGTTTTATGTAAGCTCAATAGTTTCCCACGATCAGTGTGTGTAGTTTTACTCCAGGCTTGTTGGCTGGAAACATCATCAGCTCATTTATTATATTAGCTTCAGGCCTCTTAGACAACAACCCAAACTTTTAAAGTAGATCAGTTGTGTTATGAAACATTAACCTTTAGATTGTGATTTTAAATCCTTCCATTTCCCATCACTCAGGCATCCATTTATTCCTGTCCGGAGTTAAATCTGACAGCTACTTGTAGCTGTAAGGTGAAAGGTCATGACTTTCTTTAGCAATTCCTCCTGGTCCTGTTTACTTCTACTGATCCTGTTGCTGCACTCTGATACAGCAGTTATATATGTGCATCTGTTTATGAGTGTGTCTCTGTAACTGATGTGTATGTAGAATTTTTTTTTTTGTATTAATGTGTGTGCATGTATGCATATACTGTATAAATATGTATAGGAACTGGGTTTGTTTTGGTAATTTTGGATCAGTGGTTTAGAAATTAAACAGGAAATAGGAAGTTACAATTTACATAATGGACAATAAGAGGGAGAGGGAGTATGAATAATAAGTTTTACTTCTTCATAACCCTTTTCAGATGTTAACCATTAATTAATACCTATACCTTTATTAAGCTGGGTTTTTAATTGAATATATTATCATCATAACATTAAGATTTTTTATGTTCAATTATAATTAATATGTATGTATTGTGTTTTTTTTGCTTCCGACAGACTAGCGACCTGTCCAGGGTGTACCCCGCCTTTCGCCCTTTTACACTACTGGAGATAGGCACTGGTCCCAGTGAGAACCTGATGGAAATGGATGGATTGATGGGGTTTTTGTAGGAATTTTTTTGTTGTTCACTTTTTTGTGGTGGTAATCTTCTAAAATAGAATTTATTCATTAATTTTCTTAAATCAATTTCACATCAAATGAGTTACACTTTTGTTAAAAAAAAAAAAAACTAATAAAAACACAGAAAAATATGACCCAGACAGTATATAAGATGTTTATGCAGCATCTGGAGAGACTCAATTTAACGTTACTGGACTTCTAGACTCCAAGTACACAATAAAAGTATTCAAAAGCTAAAAAAGTGTATTTTCATTTGTATGTATGTCCTCATTATTCATAAATTTTTTTGTGTGTGTGTTCAGTCTATAGGGAGGAAAGTGTATGATGTAATATATCACTAGTGTTTGGAATTTATCTCTGTGTTTATTATTCTGCAGTTTTATTTTCTCTCTGAGTTGTTTTAATTGTAAAATCCTTTCTGTTTCCTACAGCAGCATCATTCTGTAAAACAGTGCTTCCCTTTTATTTCTATGGGTGCTGGAAACAACCAGAAGCACTGCTCTGCTGGATAGCACTGAGAGACCTACAAAAGAAAATAAGCTCCTCCCTGTTTTATTATCCTGCTGCATCCTGCATTTCATATTTGAATCACAAATGGACAAACAAATTTACAGTTACATTATGTATTTATATGTAAACAAGGCAGTTACAATGGTACACAAACATAATATTCTGCAAGACAAAAGAGCTTCATAAACAAAATAGGATGCATGGACATATAGTGGGGAGAAAAAGGATAAATCAAGTCCATTATTGAGGAATAGGGCTGGGAAAGGGCTTTGTGCAACAGGTCAGAAAATCTTAGTCCAACACTGATCCCAGTTCTGCTGGTAGACCCTCTGCCTTCCTCCACTTGGCATTACGCTCCTTGAACCAGTTCTGTGGAGAAAAAAAAAAACATAATGAGGAAACCGTTGAAACAGGTTGCAGTTGTTTTTTTCGAGGCTTCAAAGCCTGAAACACAAGAACTGTGATGTAACTGCCTCTTGTCACACTAATGTATAGTAACAACATGACTGTTCCTGAGAAGTTAGACAGGAAATAAAATTAGGCTTTTCTAAATTGAGATTAATCCAAAGGCCTCTTATGAATGTAAACAATCTGATACCTACAGGAAACGTAACGTAACATTTGTTCAAATTATCCGAGGAAGGTAATATGTTATCTATTATCAAGAAAAAAAGTTTGATCATGATTACCCTTGCTTAACTGACTTTATGTGACATAAAACGTAGTTCATATTGACAATGAACTCATCGTGTTAGCATGGTGGAAAAACTGCCTATCAACATTTTAGTCAATATATTTTAAACTTAAGTTTAAACTTAGGTTTAAAATGTGCAAAGAAAATGTACATAAAATGTAAAATTCCAGCATGCTAATGTTAGCACAGTACACCTTACATGACAGGTAGCATAATGTTACTTAGCATACTGTTAGGTTCATATGTAGCATTCATCATTTAGCATCCTACATTTATGGGAAACAGACATTATAATGTTATCATTAACACAGTGATTTGTTTAAAACTTAGGTTTAACCTTAGGTTTAAAATATGTGTTGAAAATTTACATAAAATGTCACATGTGTAGATTCCAGCATGCTAATGTTAGCACAGTATAGCTCACATGACAGGTAGCAAAATGCTACTTAGCATACTGTTTGCTTCATATGTAGCATTCATCTTTTAGCATCCTACATTAATGGGAAACTCAGACATTATAATGTTATCATTAACACAGTGATTTGTTTTAACATTTACATTTTCAAATGCTAGGAATTTGGAAACAGCCATGTTTATGGGGAGCAGGATTAGCCATTACACATTAGAGTTATAAGGCTGTGGCTGTGTCTGAATGTCCGCCCTAATCACTATATAAGGCATTATATAGTTGTTACGCCATGTTAAATGAGTGTCTGAACGTCTAGTGGATCAAAAAGTAGTGGACTCAAAATTTCCCACAATGCACCTTGAAAAGTAGTGATCATTTATGGTCACTAGACCAGCAGATTTATCCCGAAATGCTTTGCGTGGAAAGCTCTCCTCGCAAAGCATCATGGGATTTGCTGTCATTGTGGCCCGCTGTCATCATAGGCTCTCGCTAGCCAACAGCAGCAACCAATAACAAAATGGCGAAAGAACCAGGCAGTGTAGGAAGAGTTACGTGACTAACGGGGAGCAAAAAGTAGCGATCATCTGTCCAAACCATTAGTTACCTGAGTTTACTATAAAGTTCCCTATATAGTCCCTGCTCTACATAGTGATTGAGGGATCTAAGGGTGAGGGGGTGGAAGTCAGGACACCGCCACTGTATAACATTAGTATTTATAGGAAAACATTATAGAATTCCTAACTTTAGCAATTGCCACAGCTTTATCACAATAGTTAAAATAATGTAGCTTTAGTATTTATTTTTTGTAGAATTTTTAACAAATTTAATCTTATGTTCACATGGAATATGTTAATTTTTCCTTCATTTTTATTTGTTTTTTAGCAGGAAAATTTCTGTATGTCTGTATATACTGTAACTCTGTATATACCGATCCCTGGTAACTTGACTTCTGACTTCATTTACACTTAGTCCTAGGCCTAAATAGTTTGAAAAGTGAGTACATTAAGTCAAAAATAATAGTTTTATTAGAAACATTTGCTGTACAACTGCAATAAACTCATAAAAATGGGGATCCATGCATCAGCTTTAAATATGCAGTAACATTTATAGTAGATTGTAAGTTCTACTCCATCGGTTCATGTTGCCCTCTGACCACTCAGCCAGTAAGTACCCCATTAAACTCTGACCACAAGATGACTGTGCAGAGCCTCAACATACACCCTTGACCTTCTACATTGCTGTTTCACTGTTCACGTTGTCAAGGGATTTGCAACACCGCTGACGCAATCCTGATAACGCCAAGAGGAAAGGGAGGGATTCGACACTCTGACAGAGGACTGGTTGTTTGAGCAGTGTCTCACAGGCGGGATATTTTCCACATTTTACATAGAAAACACATGAGATTCTCTTCTGAAGTCAGTTGGGACCACACTAATGCAAGCCCTGAAGCAATTCATGAAACGTCTCCAAACGTTCATGCTGCAATCTAATTCGTGCAACGGCAAATTGTTGTATTTACACATCTAAAGCCATAATAAGTCTCATAGCACTGCTTTTTATATTTTTTCCTACATGTGTTGCACTGAATTACCTAAGTAGGTCATTCATCTTGCCTCTAAAGCTGCTGTACAGAAAACAAAACAATTTGTTCCAGAGTTTAAACATGCACCACAAAAGCAAGTACACGTAAATGTCCTTCTTGTGAAATGGGAGTGGCAGTGGGTGGGGTTCTTTTAGTTAAACCTTCCCCAAATGTATGCCTTGTTAGCAAACACAAAAACTTCTACAGGAGGAAAAGGGGAGTTAAGTCAGGTCTTTTGATGAGGGGCCAGACCTTTACCTCATCCCGCCTGGGTCGGGCTTCCTCGTCAGCTCTCCCTCCCACATTGTGTAGAGTGAATGGAAACACAGAATGGGTTGGATTACAAGCCTCTGTGGCCACATAATTAAATGTTTCTGATGTAATCGGCTGAAGATTAGGTCTCGTAGTATTGGTGGTTTTAGAATTTATGCAGTTTTCAGTGTTTTTTTTCTTCTTTCTTTATTGTCTTAGCTTTCTTTCTCTATATCTGTTCTTTTTTAGAAGAATGAAGCGAGACACACAACCATGGGCTTGAATGTGTAATGTGTCATGGAAATGCAACACTTTTATTACATCAATACATAGTCCTTGAAAGCAGCTATTCCAAAACATTTTTGTTTTCGACTCAGAAAATAGAACCACACCAAAAAAAATCGTTAGTATATAAATATTTATTTTTATCTAATAACAATAGGTACAATAGTAATAGTACCAATTATTTTTTTTTCCTATTTCTGTTTTTTACTATGCTTTTATATATTCAAATGCATACATATTCATTGTTTTAATTTTATTGTTAGGTTTAACTGCTGTTAGAGCCCAAACTTTGGTATTCAGTGCATTGGAGATATAGAAAACATAAATAAGTTTGCATGGATCTGTACAGTATGGCAGTTCTAATATACCTAAGTACTTGCTAACCTTTACAGGCAGTAAACAACAGAAATATCCTTCTCTGCCAAAACATAGTAGTGAATTACAGAAAAGAGAAAAATAAAATGCAACAAACAGACTAAGCGAAGGTGCATTAGATGTGCCTTTTTGTGCAAACTTTCAAATCTCATAATAGTTTATTTTTCTGGTTCATAAATAGAACTTCGCAATGTGTTTGTAGTGGTTTAATTATTTTTAACCACTATCTTGTTTTTTTAAAATCTATAACCAAAGGTATTTATTAAAGAGAAAGAACAATTTAACCCAAAACTTTGGCTTTCCTGTGGACAGACCAGAGCAAAGAACTAATTACTGTCCATCATTATCATTTTCTATCCTGTCATATTTGAATATAAGAAAAAAAACTGAAAGCCAAATTACATAAACCTTGTCAGGAGTGGGTGGATTTTCTATGGCATAGATTCATTGATGAGGTGGAAACATTCCCTAGAGATTATCACCCATATTTTGTTTATAATTGTAGTTGGCCTGTCTCTATAAAACATTTTTTTGTGGGTGATAAAAATAATAATAATTGAACTTTATTGATCTCACATTGGAGAAATCTACCTCTGCATGTAACCCTTCCCATTGGAGACCAGTGGGCTGCCATCGTAGGGCGCCCGGGGAGCAATCAGGGGTTAAGGGTCTTTCTCAGAGACCCAGAGTGGCAGTCTGTGGGAGTGGGGCTCAAACTCAGAACCTCTGGATTCCAAGCTCTATGCCTAACCACTAGGCAGCCACTCCCCTGAACAAAAAAAGGTAATTTTATTTTATCATGTGATTAACTGATCAATTATTTATGAAAACAGGCCTAATTTCTATTGCTGCAGAATTCTAATTGACACATTCATGGCTGTTTCCATCAAGTGGTTTACTTGCAACTTTCACTCCTCCTAGATAAACCTGTAGTGACAGTAAATCGTCTCTTGCATGATGTTGCTAACTTTGCAGCAATTCCCTCATACTTAACATAACAGTATAGGAGTAATAGAATGATGGTCATTAAGAGGTGGACATTTAAAAAAATCGATATTCAGGTAGGATGTGCTTCTTTTATATGACGCTCATTTCTCAGAAATGATTCTTATTGAGGGAGGAAATAGTCACTCATTCCCTACTGCTTAGTTCTGACTTTAGGTCTCCTTAAGAGAAGTCATCAACAAGTGATTTTCATAATGTCCAGATGACTAAATACATCAACTTGAAGCTATGCAATGCTCGCCGATAGACTGCTGGATATAAACACCTGCCCTACTGACCTAATAACCGGCAGAAGATGTATGGATGGAAAATAATGTTAAAAACACCAAGCATCCTTTCCTATAGAGTCTAGATAGACTTTGTTGAGCCTAAATAGAATTTCAGCACCCAGCATGTCATAAAACAGGTGGGGCACCATCTGCTGGCAGTGCCAGAGAAATTATCAGAAAAATGGATGCTACAAAATAGAGCCTGACTGTCCTCCAAATACTAAATAAACTGACAACAACTCTAAGTCCTAGTCAATCCTCCCCAGAGCCTCCTATCAAAATATCAAGGAGAAAGAAAATGTTTCCCCTCCTAACAAACACAAACAGGGGACACAGCATTCATCCATCCATCTATGGGTTTGTATTTAGAACCCTAGAGGGACTAAGAATAGCCTTGCTATCATTAATATCCATATTAATAAAGACATTTACTCATACATCCATTAACTTCTCTGAAAACCTGGGCAGCTTTAACTTCCACTTCAGTGAATGTACTGTATTCCAAGCCTTTTTCAAGTCTTATCTATGTTTGAATTAAATATTTGTTGCATTTTTTTCACACTGGATCTTCCTTGTTTACCCTCTACTAACATGTGCATCATTGTAAATATGCATAAAAGGTTTATCTAATATGAAACTAAGCAAAAACAAAGAGTAAAACACAATAACCAATAATACGCCAGTAGGATGAGGTAATATTTCAGAAAAACTTTATATGGAACCAGATTTTGGCAATGACGTATAGATTAAAAACAGGTCAGATAAAATGGCTATGCACCTTTAACCTGATGGCTAAACTTACAACTTATATATGATCTGTGGTGAACCAAGCCAGGAGTGGAAAAAGAAAGAAAAAAAAAAGGCAGTATCTATAGTCTTTTCTGTACTTTTAGATAATTAGAAAGATGCCATGCCTAAATATGTCTGTAAATATGTTTCCTGTTCTTCCTGCTTGTGTAACTTCACCTTGGGGAAATCTGGTGTAACTGGTCTGTTGGGCTGATGTAGAGAAACAGCACGCCCGGCGTATGCGAGGGATTGTTTGCTGAGACACTTGTTTGGTTGTCATGTGAGAGTTGTATCTGTTCAACAATCACCAGGTATCCACCCACCTCATCAACTACAGGCGTACATTTGCCTAAAAGATTTCTGATGCTGATGCTGGGATATATTCCCACTAGAGAATCCCCTAATAGCAGCGTTAGCAGCCTTAATTGTAAGATTCACAATGATTAATCCATCACACACAAAAACCTTTAGGTTTGTTTCTATCTTCTCTTAGTGCTCTAATTGAAGGTCTGAAGCTTCACATCTGGCAGTAGATGTGACAGATGCAGAAACCACACACACATTTCTCAGATAGACGTCTGGTGGGAGTGTCTGCATGTCAGAGAAAGAGGTGATAGGGACCAAATACTGCTGCAATAACGTAAGTGTTCTGCAGATAAAATGTGTATTTATGTTGTTTTTTTTTACTTTGTGTCTTACAAGTTACTAAAATATTAAATATTCTGTCATATTCTTATTGTTTGAAATCTCCTTTAAAGAAGTGCCAGAAAAAATACCAGCGTGAATGGAATCTTCTGGCTGGGAGCATTAAGTAATGTTCCGCATTCACATTCCTGTTTGTTTGCTTAATGTTCGCACAGCAGAAACCTATGACAGAAAGTCCTGACAAAGTCATCTAAAGCATGCAACACAGTCACACCCTCACCAAAAGCAGTTTTTTACATGAATCTGCGCTGAAAATTAATAAGTTATATCGGAAATTCATCTCTGCTGTTACCCAATGACAACATAATAACCATGACCCTGCTCAACTGGACTTTTATGGGTTGGGTCTAGTTAAATGTACGCATTTGTGGCTGTATTTTGTGTAAGAAAGACACAGGTTGATGCTTAAGCAATAAGTGTAGTCTGCTTCTATGAAGGATTTATACCAAGTTGTTTTTATTTTAGTCTCAAATTGCTTCGAGATACTATAAATTTACCAAAAAAACATCCTTCAAAAGTAGTGTAAAATGACATGTCATAAATTTTTAGTCTTTAGTATATTCTGTTCTTGGATTTTAAGCCAAACTGAATGTATTTTTACCCTTAATGGTTAATACTATCAGTGGCTTAATGCCTAAAAAACTAAGACAGACTTAATTATTTTTGGTCTAAAATAAACCCATCAGGGAATCATTTTTGGACTAACCCAAATGTACATGATTTCCATAACTTTCTTTCAAAACAGAGAAAAATATTTTTCAGTAATAATAAATAATATTTTTAGTAGATTTGATTACTGTAATAGTACATTTACTAACTACTAAGTACTTACTACTGTGAAATAATTCACCTCATCTAACATTGTACAAACCAGCAGAAAATAGGAAGGCATCGAACCGATTCATAAACTATTGCACTGGCTCTGTAAAAGATTAGCTTTGAAAATGTTCCTACTGATTTAAAAAAGACCAAACCATCTTAGGAAATGAAATTTAGAGCTGATTCGCAAGTGTGAACCATGTAGAAGATGATCAGAGATCTCTGTTTTCTCTGGACCATGTGAGGCAGGATTTGGTTTCTGTTCCCTTAAGTATTTAAACCAACTTCTCAAATGCCTAAGATGTCCACACCAACAATGTAAACATTTCATATATTTATTTTTGTAAAAATAAAGTTAGCATTTTGATAATAAAATTAGAATTCTGAGATTACAGTCAGAATTAGTCAAGATTCTGAGATCAACGTCAAAATCAGAATAATTCAGAATTCTGAAAAAAGCAAAGCAAATATATACATATATACATATATACATTTATATATATAACCTATATATATATATATATATATATATATATATATATATATATATATATATATATATATATATATATATATATATATATATATATAGAAAGATTTGCTTTGCTTTTTTTCAAAGGTAAAGTATAGAAAATGTTTTTTGTTTTTTTTTTACATAAAGTTAGAGCCATTTACACAGACTTGTTGCTTCAGTGGAAACTTCAACTTTACGCGAACAAGCAGGAAACTCTAAGCGCAATGAACATGTCAAAGATGTTTAAATGAAGACTAAGAATCATAATCTCTTTCCTTTCATCATTGGCAGTAATCAGTATAAACATTTAGTGGTTTTATAAACTAATCATATTGTAAATACATAGTTAATGATCTGTAGTGGGATTGGAAAGCAGCAGCAGGTCATTTCTCACCATCGTTTCCTCCTCTGACAGTCCGCACTCTGCAGCGATCAGCATGAGGGTTGTGCTGTCTGGATGTTTGGTGACTTTGTTGAAATTTTCCTCCAGCGCTTTGATTTGCTCCTCGGACAGTTTCCCGTTGACAGTAGAAGCCATCTTTGTCTTTTATTTCCTCAGTTCTTGCTCTCCGGTCAGTCCTGCCGGGTTTGAAGGATCAGATGTGCGCACAGCTGGATGGCGCGGCGTGGAGCGCTGATTCCAGTGACAGCCAGGCGGGAAGCAGCGCGTGTATGAGGGAGTGGATGATGTGAGGAGGCTTTTACAACAGAGGAGAATTATGAAGCCAAACCCACCAAGCTATACGCCCACTGGACTGGAGGGAGGAGGAGGATGCAGCTACTCTACTATGGAGGGCACTGCGATTTAAAACCGACAGATGGTGATGGAAAAATATTTATATATGATAAATCAGCACTAAAGAGAATATAAATAGCTTAATATCTCAGTAATTTATCAAATACACTATTTCATTTATGGAAATGTAAATTAAAAATGAATTTCATAGTGAAAAAAGAAAACAGATTAAATCTTATTCTGAGATTAAAGTTAGAATTTTGATATTAAGTCAGAATTCTAAAAATAAATAAGATAATATAATAATTCTGAGATCAACGTCAAATACTGTATGTCTGAGATCAAAAACAGAAATAGAATTCTGAGATTAAAGTCAAAATTCTGAAATCAAAGTTAGAATTCTGAGATTAAAGTCAAAATTATGAAATGAAAGCCACAATTATGAGATTAAAGTCAAAAGTCTGAGATTAAAGTCAAAATTCTGAAAATAAATAAGATAATGTAATAATTCTGAGTTAAAATTCTGAGATCAACGTCAGATATGTCTGAGATCAAAATCAGAAATAGAATTCTGAAATTAAAGTCAGAATTCTGAAATCAAAGTTAGAAATCTGAGATTAAAGTCAGATGACTGAGAATAAACTTAGAATTTAATAATAAAGTTAGAATTTTGAGATCGAAGTCAAAAGTCTGAGATTAAAGTCAGAATTCTGAAAATAAATGAGATACTGTAATTCTTAGTCAGAATTCTGAGATTAATGTCAGATATGTCTGAGATCAAAATCAGAAATAGAATTCTGTAAATTAAAGTCAGAATTCTGAGATCAAAGTTAGAAATATGAGATTAAAGTCAGAATTCTGAGAATAAAGTCAGAATTCCGAGAATAGGAAATCAATAAATTTTTTTTTGATTTGCCGTTTTTTTTTTATGATTTTAAGTTACCCTAATCCTCTTCTGTACCATGTGCTGCCTCATATAATAAAAGTATTTTTTCCACCAGTATTACTATACAGTACAGTAAGTGACTGTACCTTCAAAAAAAGATAATTTTTGAATTCTGAAATAATTGAACATGATTTGACAAATAGCTAATTTCTGTATTAATCAACAATCAAAAATAGGATTGTATTAAATAAATAAATATATATATTAATATCATCCAACTCTTCAATTTGGAGTGGCAAACCCTTGGCAAGAAATAGAAGACATAAAGTTTTCTTATTTCTTGTTAGCCCATAGTGCTTTGTAAGGATTGCGGTCCTTGCATCAGTGATTATAGCTGGAATTTAAAGGAACCTACCGACTAGGCTTCCCAATAAATCCCAATAAACTACTGGCTTTGTGCTGCTGATAAAATGCTTCCAGATCAAAATGAATGTGTCATAAGGCTAATTAAAAAAGCCAAGAGACTTAAAATAGACCCCAGCTTTGTATGTTATAACACATGGTGACACAAGGTATGACAAACTTCTATTAATGTTGGAACAACTGTATAGTTTGGTCTGCTTAAAGACTGATTTACACATCTATGTATGTGGATTTTTAAGACATTCAGAATATTTATAATAGATGCGCACTAACTAATCAAGTTTTTAGAAACATAGTCATACTGTTGAAGCATGACAACAAAAACAGGAGGATTTTTACATCCATATACAAAATAAAAGCTTTTTCCTGATTTTATATTTTTTGCACTTCAGTAATCAAATATGTCTTAGGCCGATTAGAAAAACATGGGATGCTATCACATCTCCGCAGCTACAGAAACATGTTCAGCGAGCGTGCAAGGTTTCACAATATAAACCCTGTAAATACAGCCATGAATGCGCATGCACGTGTTGCTTCTCCTGATACTATCTTTGGATTTTGATTAGACCTGTAATTATGGGTATCCTCACTGCAGGGTTGACTTTAAGCAACTGCAAAGCCATGCTGTCTGATTTCCTCCTTAAAACAACACTAATCCATATTGCTGTCTTTATTTGGATTCAAACTGTAAACCAAAACAGGTCTGAACACATTCAATTGCAAGACTTTTTAATGTACAAACATTATTAAAAATTTGTGTATATGGCTAAAAAGTCTTCTTCTCTGTAGAATTAACAAACATTTGTTTCTTCATTATTGAAGCCTCCTTCTATCCAAGTCAAACAGCTGCCAGCAAAGAATTTGGAAACCTTGAAAGTAATCATGATGAGAAATTAAATAGGAAATGGCTGAAAGATACAAGCAACTAAAAAAAAAACATAATAAGAATAAAGGAATAAAGGAAAAGAAATAAAATGTGATTTATGTCGCTCACATGTTCAATGCATGACTTTGTAGTGAAAAACCCAATGCAGGATAACATCCTGCTCAAGCTTAGGAGAGCAGATAACAAGCTGCTGGTTTATGGTCTGTAAATAAAGTATAAAGTTCTCTGGAAACGGCAGCTTACATGATAATTTTACTGTTGCTTGGCTGCTGCTGAGCATCCAGGCCCCGTTGGTGATAAGAGAGAAAACTGAGTCTGACTGCTTCTAAATGGTCATATTTAGAGTGTTGTTTGTTACTAATACAGATAAAGATATATTTTTTCCTCTAGGTTTAATTAATTGCAGTAAATGCCTGATGAGAAATCCAAAAAAAATATCTCCAGTGCTTTTTCCACCACACAGGTCCAGTTTTCTACCGCATGTTGCATAGTCACAGTTTTTAAACTGAATGGCAGACCAAGCAATGGCATAAAAACATTGCGGCTCCTCATATGTAAGACCATTAGTAAAAGAAACGCAGAAAGAAAATACATTTTAAAAAGCAAATTTATATAGTTTTTATATTTGTCCTTATTTATATAGTTCAGTTATTTCTATTTTTGTCTTAGTTGTTGTTTTTTTAACAAGCAAACATCGCTGTTGGGGGATTTGATCTCAAATCTACAGGCACAGTATGGATCAAAACATTCAAAACAGCAAGAACTGGGTTAAGCACCCAAGTTTCTTTTGCCTCCATTCACATAAAGACGTGATGCTGATGTGGGTAAAATAAAATGGGCAAGAAATATTTCACATTGTCTGGTTTCTATAGGAAATCAGGGAAGCCTCCATGTGTAAATGTGTTGGTTTTTGAAGACATCATCTTTAATTGTGACCTTGTACTGTCATCAGGTGTGATTAACATGGAGCCTTTTGAAAAAACAAAGGAGGGATACATGTGGAAGAGCATCCCATGTTTGCTGCTAGATATGACAGGAGTTCTGTGATGCTGTGGGCAGAGAACTCGATGCTAGATCAGACAAAATCAATCTTTCTTACTTTTGATAGGTAACAGCAATGTTTACATTCATGAGATGTTTACATACTTGTTAACTTAAAGGGAAACAATCTTTCCAATCTAAATTTAATACAAAAACCATTTAAAGTCAAATAATTTCAACATTTTAAAATTATACGTGGAAAACACTACAGAGATCCATCAAATTCATTGTTCTTCAGCTTTAAACTAATGAAAATTCACAACAAATATATTCAGCAAATTATGTTTAAATGCATAAAATATATCACCGTAAAGTATATAGCCAGAACATTTTCAGGGAAAGATTTATTAAAAGAGATAACATATATAATTTGGAAGGAATGGAACAGAGAAAAGTGAGTGCTGCAATTTTGTTTATGAAACAAATCTGCTGAATAATCTGTTAAAAGAAACCAAAGATAGTAGATAAATTTTTACTTCTTTATAATAGGATATATTGTTCTATCTAGGTATAATGTATTTTATTTATTTGGTAGATAAAGTAGTGTTTTTTTTTTTCATTCCAAAAAAAGTTAAAAACAAACCATCTGAAACAAACCAAAAAGATTTCCCAGTTCAAAATGTCAGGAGTAGCGTTGTGTTCCAGGCTTTATAGAGTAGCCCAACAAAAGCCTTGATATGGCTTAGAAAACATAGCCTGGGTGCCATTCCGAATTTAGTCCCGCCCACAACGTTTGAGGTCGGGTGTTCGGTCTGGCATTGCTCAATAGTAGCGAGAGTATGATCGCACAATATCTGGCGGGCCAATCAAATTGTCAGGGCGGGCTTTATACGATGATGGACAGATGATACACAGTAACGTAATCAACCACGTGACCAAAGCGCGCTTGGGTGACAACAACAATGGCTGCCGCCGGAGAGTTGAGGTGAGTAGATTCTGCTATTAGGTCTGTTCTAGAAGATAACGACAGCAAATTAATTTTAAAAGAGGAACAGAGAAACGCGATCAAGGCTCATCTTCTTATTCTAGGCATGCAACTGCATGCTTTGATTTTTGTTGACAATAACTGCGTTGCTTAACATACGTCACGCATTCCGTTGCTCTTATTGGTTGTAGGTCTATCCAATTGAGTGCAGAGGCATTTTTTTTCCTGGTTCGTTCAAAACACGCCCCATAATCTCAGCTCTATGGAGCAGTATCAGACTCATATTCTGACTAGAATTGAGTCGGACTATGTCAGGGTATAGAAAACATGCAAATTGAAGTGAAAAACAGGTCCCTTAGTAATGGGGAATTGTTGAGGTCTTTTTGGCCTGGCTTAATAGGCACAAGGATTTGGTCCCCTGCATGGCGATGAGGATTGAGATGATAGCGGGAAGTAATCGACTCTATTGCTGCTTTGTAGGCAGTACTCACGTTGAGGGGGGATGAGGAGGGATGACATCCCCCTTATAAAAAATCTTAAAAATCATCCCCCTTCTCAAATGACCATCCCCCAATGACATCCCTGTGTTATTTTATTACTGAATGTGCAAAATGTATACTATGTATTAACACTATTGGCAATAATATTGCCCTTTCAACATTTGGTGGGCTGTGGGCTTTGGAGTATTCTTGAGAAAATTAATAAAATCAAAGAAGTGTCCTACTATGACTATGAAGCTGATCCCAGTGGGAAATTTGTCCCTAACTATGTTGGGGCA